GGGGGAGAGATTTTAAAGGTGGGAATGGGAACACCCGCTGGAGTAGAGGAATGCTGGGCCGATGAGGGAAAAGCTACTATTTTTCTACACGGAGAATTATGTTTTTCTTCTCATAATTAACTCACAGCTCCTTCCCATTAAGGCAACAATGAAATGGTCTTTGGATCCTGATGGTAAACCGTATTGATTTGACAGGTTCTATCAAAAAGAAAGAAAACATTTGCTTACTCAGAAGCTTCGGTCTAAACTGACCTTCATTTGAACTGCTCTGTACATCCAGATCTGTATCTACCTATTTGATCCATGTGAATGCTGTGAGTTTTAAAAGAATGGTAGAGAAGGCAAGTTGGGGCCATTAAAACAAAATGAGCACCAATGAATGTATGCCTTAATTACAAATGAAAAGTCCCTTTACTAACATGTAATTTCAAAGTTTAGCACGAGGAAACAAGTCTGCTATTTGACTTAATGGAATTCCCCAGGACTCTGAAAGCAAATGTCCAATGACTAAAAAACTAGGCATCTTCAAGGTATGATAAACAAATGCTAGAGCCAACTTTCTTTATCCAACAGTAAAACAGAGACTGAAACTTAATAAACCTACATATCATAGACCTTGCTAATTCTGCAGATCTGAAGGATTTTGTACTGTGAAAAGTTAGTGCAAACATAAAAGTGCGTGCTCCACAATTCCTTTGTTTACAGTAAGTTTATTTTAAAATGCTCAGCTTCCTTCTGCTTCACTTCTGAAACCAGTGGCTCTCTTCCGTGTTTATTATAACCCTTCGTAAACATGAAACAAAAAGATTTTAGATTCTACAGAACATACCTGCAGCCAGATCCTGACCTGGTCAACCCTGTGTGTACTTAGTTGCCAATGTTTCAATTAACCCTTGTGCTTGAAGGGCTGGTTAAAAGCAATCCGTGAGGATAATGCTTAGCACCATCCTCGAAGAAGTTTTGTTGATATCAATGTGCATACTCTAGGGAAGTATCTTGGCTCTGGGACAAGCAAACCATTGTCACTGGAAGAGTGACTTAGTCTGAACAACTGAAAAAATTCCCTTTAAACTTCAAACCCATTTGCCTGGCTAGGATTACTTTGTTAGCTGTCTAGGTTCATAGCCTTCTCCCTACTATAACTTAAAATGCCACCCACCCATTCTTGAGTAAGTAGAAAACAATGCTGACATAAAATTGGCTGCCCTGGCCACCAATTGTTAGCCCATTTCTATTAGGCCTATTCTGAGCCGCTACTGATTGGTCCTGAGTGTAACACAGATACAAGCAAGGAGATGGGTTTTCTCCTGTGGCTTGGTGGCTGTCCTCAGCATGTCACCCACCAGTGGGGAAAACATCCCGAGTTAGGGCACTGTAGCAGAAATGGGGAGAACCTGGCTTCAGGATTCTGCTTGACTTCTCTAGATTGGTTTCCCTGCTGCTTTATTTGAGCATCTCCCTAGCTTAAAATAATGTGAAATAAAGAAGTACCTGGGGAGACATCTTTGGGATGGTTCCATGGTCCACGTTTTTTAAAATTAAACTCCCCTTCCAATGGACTGTTCCCTCTGACAGGCCTTTGTCTACATTGACCAACTCTGCCTATCCTGAGGAATGGGGAAGGCTGTTGCTGGCCTGGTTGCTTTTGGCCACAGATCCCAATTACTGTACCTGATGTGTTTGCAGTCTCCGCAGAGTTGGATTTTTAACTGGGCATACTTTTCTTCTGGACTTTTGACCTGGACTCTGTTTTTGCCCTGGATTCTCCTTGAGTTGGACTTCTCTTAGTTTTGCCTAGCTTTGTGGATTATAACCTACACTTGATTTATGGCCTACCATATGCACTATAGGTAGTCCTCAACTTATGACCATTTGTTCAGCGACTGTTCAAAGTTAGGACAGCACTGAATGAGTGGTGGTTACAACCAGTCCTTGGAGTTCTGGCCATCCCAGCATCCCCATGGTCACATGATGGTAATATGGGTGCTTGGCAACCTGTTCGCATTTACAACTGGTTGCCAAGTGCCCTGCGATCACATGATCACCATTTGCAACCTTCTATGCTGGCTTCCCCAGAAAGTCAAAGGGGAATCTGGCAGGGAAGATCACAAGTTACTGGGTAAGTGTCCCCCACCTGTGCACCCTCCACCAGCCTCTTCACACTAGCACTGCATCAGCCACTTGTGCACCTCCACACACACTCCCTGACCTGTGCTGCACCCTTGTGCATCCTCCCCAACCCACATGGCACCTCTTGCACGCCCCGTGTACCCTCCCTGACCCTTCCCCATCACTGGGGAGCCAATCTCAAGGGGAGGCTGTTTGTTTATTTATATCATTTATAAGCGTAATGTGGTCCTAGTGAGCAGTGCTAGTCAACATAGGCTGATACATTTTGGACCAACAACCTTGGAGCTGGCAGAGAAGTACAATAAACAGAAATCCCATCTTGGATTCATCTTAGCTTTTTCATCTCATCCAGATACTAAGAGTCTCTAGGCACTGTTAGTATCTGGACTTCAATAGCATTTCTCAGCAGAGCCTTGCATGGCAGTTATAAAGCTGAGAATCACCAGCATGTTGACAGTATTGCACCCAAACAGCAAGGGGAGGGGCAAGACTGATCCCTGAGGCACCCTAGAAGAGAGACTACTGGGCCTCCCTTTCTCATTACCACTGACTGAAAAAAAAACCTCAATCCCCACAGATCATCCAAAAGGAGACCATGGTTGATGGTGTCAGAAGCCACCAAGAGGTCTACAAGGACCAAGAGGGATGCATTACTCCCATCAGCCCTTACAGCAATTTTAGGGTGATCTTTTCCTGCTTAGTGGTACAGATCAAACTGCCATAAAAGGCACAAGAGCAGGACAATCTGCTTTTGCTGAATAATTGGCACCTAACAGAGGACAGGTTCTATACTGTATAATGTTCCAAGGTTTCATTATCATTACTTTTCCAAAGGTTGTATCAGGAAAGTGCAATAGACTTGCTGCAGCCTGCAATAAATTCATTGCAATCCTGAGTAATAATACTCTTTATCACTTTAAACCTCTTGTTGCAACCCTAGTTTATGCTGACCCCATAAATCTTATCAGCATGAAAGTCTAATCAAAACAATTGCATCATTTGCGAACAGATGTTTCCTTACTCCCTCCTTTCTTTAAACTTGCTGAAACTATTAAAAATAGTTCCTTTTTCCAATTTGTGTTGTTTTCTTTGCTCCCCTACCCCAACTCCAGTAGTTGCTAATTCCTGAGGATTAAAAAAACACTGTTCAGAGACTTGCCCTCCAATTTCCTGCAAGTTTTCTTTCCCTGTAAAAAATAGAGGCTTCCTTCTTAAGCTTTATAACTCTTTCGGTTTTTTTTTTTTTCCCCAGACTTAGTACATGATTGCAACGTGGCAGAAGTTACTGGTGATGTGATTGACGTGCTTTTCCCCACACTGATCTCAGTGCCTGATATGAAAAAAGTCCATGGGAGGAGTTTCCCTTCAGATTGCCTTGAAATGTGAGAAGTTTGGGAAACTGCAGAAAGAATTGATAAGGGTGGAGGTTCACAACAGCCTCCGTGTTTACTTCACAAAGAGGTAAAGGCAAGTATTCCATGCTACACCCAAGAGAAGCTCACAGAATTTTTTTTCTCCTTTGAAAAATAATTGAAAGCAGTTCCTTTTGCATCAATTGAGGAACAGCAGTTGAAAAAAAGCTGCTTTGGTCTAGTGGCGAAGGCCCCAGGCTAAAAAGCAAGAGGCTGTGAGTTCTAGTCCTGCCTTAGGCACGAAAGCCGGCTGGGTGACTTTGGGCCAGT